ATATATATATATATATATATCGTAAAATACATCTTTAATTATAATTTTTTAATGAATAAATATATGTTTCGTCTTTTAAATAATAAGAGCAAATCACTTTATTTTTAATTTTATAACAATTTCATTTTAATTTTTTATGTAAAGATTAAAATGATAATTTATTAAAAATATTAAATATTAAAATGAATTTTTTTTGTAAAATTATAAATTAAAGTGATTTACACTTATTTGAAAAATTAAAATAGATATTTATTAATTAATAATAACGTGTTATTTTTTTAAATATCTATTCTGTATTTTTAATAAAATTAATAAAAATCATTGACTTGGTGCTTGTTTAATTTACAAGGAGTTAAGACGTGTGAAAAGGAGTTTATAAGATTTATGAAGTGCGTTTCCTGGGAGTAAAAAAATAATTACTACGTATCGGCAGAGGTTACAACATCAATAAAAATAGACCCTTACTTCAATTAGGAGAGAAAGAATGGTGATGATATATTTTTTAGTTTAAAATTAAATAATTATATATTATTTATGATGATAAATATATAATTAATATATCAAATTTATATTAATTTATATCTTTTATTTTAAATAAATATTTGAAATATAAAATTTGTCTTCTTTTCTCTCTCTCTCTCTCTCTCTCTCTCTCTCTCTTTTAGAACCCCCTTTTCCCATGCAACCATGTAGAAAACAAGTGTGTTTCGTCCTGAGAATAACCAAATGACATCTATGCATAGAAAGCCACAAGTCACAATTCACAATTTTCCTTCCTCAAGAAAGAATGTGGTCATGGAAATGAAATAATAGAGTAAATATGTGTCTAAGTAGCGAATAGTTATGTTATTAAGAAATTGAACCATTTGCATATAATAATTTTAAGAATCTTACTTTAAAACTATCAAAGATAAACAATATGGAGTTAGTTGATTACAACCAAAGTATCTTCCCTTCTTTGCTTAATTGGTTCCTTGGCTGCGATGGAATCTACATGTATTTATTAGTTTGAACTATGAATACACATAAATTTCATCATTAGGTGCAGTGTACATAATACCATCCGGAAATGTGCAGTGTGCTGGAATTCTGCTATCATCATTAGGTGCTTAGATACAATTAAATTCTATCAATAAATCACAAAATGTTCTTAAATTACAGAAATCCGACAGAATTTAATGGGTACACCTTCAAATACAGCAACTTTAGTTTATAGAATTAATTGCGATTTTATTCACAATAAAAATAAAATAAAAGAGACCAGAAATTTGCTTTATTTTCTGGACACCAGTAACAGGATGAAAATGGTCCTCCACTATAATACACCCACCATGCCATATGGCCTACTTTTATTATTAGCTTTTGCTCATGACCCTTAACAAATTGAGGTTTTATACCCATCCACTTCAACTTCAAGAAATATGGTCCTGAAGTAGAGCCGTAGAAGCATACCCTAAAAATGAAATTTGAATGAAGTTCTTAATACGTACTTAGAGTAAAAAAAATTGAAATAAAAAATAAAATAAATCAAAACTTTCCATATGAATTAAAATCACGTTACGTATCTTAGCTCTAAGTTCCCTCGTGTAGCTTTTCATTAGTAATAACAAACTTATAGAGACTTGTATATTTAATTTAAAAATCAAATAGTCATATTCTTGAAAAACTTTCGTAAACGAGAAGTTAATTCAAGCAAGACTTTACTACCCCAGATAACACTTAACTTTAGCAATGGAAAAATATACATATTATATCATCCCTGAATTTATATTATTGGAATCTATTCCTATGTTAAAAACAAATGTTGCACGCACAAGAGCGTTAAAAAAAAAAGATGGTCCTTTGATTCGTTTTTAATGCTATGCCTTCCAAGATTAAAACAAGGGTAAAGTGTTCACAAAAAGAAAAGGACTAAAGTAGAGATGAAAACCTTTCTGTAATCACAGGAATGTAATATATGCCAATTATAATTTCGAAAGAATCTTTTATACATGGAAAAAATCTATAATTTGGAAAGTTTTAAGCAAATACTTTGTTGTCTTTGCAAAGTAGTAGGTATGGTATATGATCGGCTAGAAAAGAAAACGAATATATATATATAAACAGTTCTTATTTAGAGTATAGACAAATAATTTATGTCCAATGGACCCAAATTTCAACATTGAACTCATCAAGAATATATCTTAACTTTAAAGAGCTATATATTTCAGATACTTAAGTTATGAGGGAACTCAACTCAATCCACCCTGCTGCATTTTTCTATTGTCGTTGGTTCAAACCTTCTTGGAAGAATCAGTATTGGCTTCGGATCAGGTAATCTGCATCCTGAGGTTTAGAAACAATAAGTTTATTGTGTTTAATCCTTGGGATGCAGATTACCACTTCCTTATGTTATGACCAATTCATAGAGCATTTAAATCAGTTTGATGAAATTGAAATCCTTCTTTACTTGAAGAATACTATACTATAGTGTATTTTGTATTTGATTGAACTGCTATTGGAGTTCCATTGAGGCACTGCTGCAGATGAGAAGAGTCTCTAGTGAATGCTGAGTAATAAACCACTACATGCTCCACAGGTAAAAGAAGCACTATATCTATCTACCTATCCATATGGAAGCATATCAAGCGAGATAAACATCTTATGATGAGCCGGAGAAATAAATTTTAACCATAGAATTATGTGCATGTAAGATTAGTAAACTTCAAACAAGTTAAAATCTTGATAATGCAAACTATGCATGAAAAGTCAAGATTATTTTTTCTTACACTCATACTCTTACCCTATACGTTTCTTATGCCTTGATTTTATCAATATGGGTAAATATATAGATTATGTTCATTAGAAAGTGTATTACACTGGAATTTGCACTTGTAAAATTGCTTACAAATAGATAGACACAAGTAATGGGCAAACACTGTCTATATTCTAAGTGGATAACCAGAAATACTTGGGAGGCACCAAGGTAATTGTTTTCACTTTCTCCTTTTATATAACTTTTTCCTCTTTTTCTAAAAGATTGAACAAGTTTAGCACAGGGTATAACACCTTAATTTAATTTTTTAAATAATTAAACTTTGCAAAATAGAAGAAATAAAAATTTCTATTCAAGTAGTTTCCAAAGATATACTTCATTAAAATATTTCAAAATAACGATAGTTTACAATTTGCATCAAATCATTGTTACATGACTAATTTAATTACATTAGAGTTCTCAAAAATAAATTTCTAGTCCTATAGCAGTCTCATTCATCCCTTCACTGAACTCAGTGTTGATCATCTTGGTCACCTAAAAAATAAATGTAAAGGTGAGTACTCTACACTATCACACACAAGCACAGAGGCTCACCTTCGCACATCATACATATTCACTACCAAATTCAAATCATGCATCAATTAACACATTCGTCACTTTTCAGCATTTCATACCAATCCACATACAGGTGTGCTTACTGCACCATCAAACAATCCACACACACGTGCACTCACTGCACGTAGTCATAGTCACTGTGGCACTGTAATCACAGTTTCACACCATGGATGGTCGTCGGTTAACTCTCACCTCACAAATACAATGTGTGCGGTCAAGAGTCCATTGGCAAAGGTGTTAGTCAGAGGCCGAGTCAGGAGGAGAGTATGTGGCCTGTGATGCACCCACTCACTGTTGGTGTCACCACCACCCTCTTTTACCCAAGGTATTTCTATCGCCCCATCTTCCACACTTCTAGTGTATCGTTAAACCATTCATAACTTGCAATATATTCACAATCGCATTTAACATGCCATTTACACACATTTTAGCCACATTTTCAATCACGAACAATATTTACATTCACACACAGCATGTATGCTCACATTCACTCATTTCACATCCCATACACACACCAATTCCAACACAATCCATATCCATCATACACACCATTCAACATCTTTACACTATACTTTACACAATCTCACTACAATCAATCAATTTCATTAAAACATACATCTTCCTATATTTTAATTATGCACATTACAACACATAGCAAATTAACGGAGTTCAAGCACAAAATGAGATAGGATAGATTCTCCCCTACCTCAAAATGATGACCCACACACAGAATCAACAAAGAAGGCACTCCCCACACAAATTTCGTCCTAAATACATGGAAGAATCCCATGAGGACTAAGGAAAACCGAGAAAACAATGAATGGGATGAGAAACCGAAACCTTAACCATTAAAACTTACCTCCAAACGCCTCAAATGTGGTTCTAACCTTCAATCTAGCTTCCAAACGGCCGTTGAGGCAATTTAATCGATAAAAATGAGTTTTGAGTTGAGAGAATCGAAAGGAAAATGAAGAGAGAAGAGTGGGAATACGTTTCCCGAACCCTAGACCCTTCAAATACTCTTCTGGTCAAGACACTCTTCCTACAGGGAGATATTCTCGCTGCAGTGACACCCTCTCTTGCTACAACAAAAATCTCAGAGGAAACTGCACTCTGGTTTCTGCAAAATCTCGCTACAGTGAAATTGTACCAAAAAATGCACCCTTCACTAACGCAACAGTTTCACCCCTCTCTCCCCAGTGCCTTCTCACTACTACAGCGAGAATGACACAATTTCATGCTCTTCGCCCATGACCTTATTACTACAGCGAGAATATCATGCAACACCCACACTTAGCCTGCATATATATATATATATATATATATATATATATATATATTCAATCAATTCTAGCCGAGTCACAATCCACATCACATTTCAACCATAGTATACGGACCTCTTCACAATCATATTCACATTCATACATGTTTACGTCATTACACACACATACACATCATTATATACATAAATCAAACATACAAACGCATGAAAATTCACTTATATACTTATATTAATATATCAAAATATTATTACAAAAATTTGGAGCGCTACACAGGCCAAACAGGAATAATTAGCTTAGATTGTTCTATAACATAGTCCAAGAATTTTGGAATTTACGAATCACGAATTTCAAGCCTTGTGCAGCACTCCAATAGCTTCTTCCCTGCTTTCTCTGAAGTCCTTGCCATCTTTGAAGATGAGAAATTCCATCATCTCCACACGAAAGAATATGAAACTTCCGCATAAATGTGTAATGCAAGATCCGAAGTCTTTGCCCACCACGGAATTCCATGCAGGTCCATATGCTTGATCGAGTTTCTGTCTATCAAGTTAATTAAATGAAATAGTTTCAAGTGAAAGATTAAATACATGTTATATGCGGCAAAGCACAAGGATATCAGTGTAGTTATGTAAACACTCAGTTATGACTTATGTATATAATTTACAAACAAAACTATGGACATAATTAACTGTTGCAGTATTTACTGATACAGTAAAGTGAATGCAAATCTTTTGAGGCATGTGGAATATTTGAACACTTGGGTGAGTCATTATTTCAAGGAATAAATCATCAAATGAAGATACGTTCCAATGAGAAAAGTAGATGAAATGAAATCATTTCAATTAAAATAGGTAAAGAAAGAATGAAGAAAACTTTACACGAAACCATTAGAAAATGACCCTTTCTAATAAAAATTAGAAAAAAAGACCTTGATACATGATTTCTTCGGAACTTTGTACTCTGATAGAACTTAGTAAACTATTTGATTCATTTAGATAATTTCACCCAAAGACAAGGTGTGGTTGTTGTTGATATTGAGTTACATCAGGGTGGGAATAAAGTAGGGCCTAATATATTAGGTTTTTGAAGGCCCATCCTATCATTAGTCACTTCATTATAGCTTGTGATGTAACTTAGAATGGCAAATAATGAATACCTTACGGCTTTATAATGAATCAGTGATTCTACATTTTGGTTGATTCTAGTATTGTGGCCATGTGGGCGTTATTTATTTTTTCTCCTAAAAGTTTCTCATATTGAAATTCTTTCTACACTTGATAGTACCAGATATTGTGAGAGATAGCTTTATAATATTTTAAAAATAATAGTAGAATCTTGTAGTTTGTTGGATGAAAGTATTTCCTGCTATACTTATATATTTATTGTTACTTTAATTTAAATACTTTAAATATTGATATAATTATAAGAGAGATAAAATGCTATTTAAATAAAAATGTAATAAATATATAAGTGTAAATGGAGTTACCCTTTTTCCATCTGTCAATTAACTTTTTCTTCTTTTTTTATGGTCAAAGTGTGACATATGATCTAAACCAAATCATGAGAATTCTTATCACTTACCAGAGGAGAAGGAAGTTCCAGGAGAGAGTGTGCTATATGCTGAGTTATTTATTTAAGCCATTCTTAGTCTCCGTAATCATATTATAAGAAAAATTAATGCAAACGTCTTAGTAAAGAAAAATGTTTCAAAATTGCTCCAAACATGCACTAGTCTTTGAAACTTTTGCTTTTACTACATTCCTTTATTATAGGAGGGGATAGCTTTCATTTCTGGTTTTTTTACCAGTTCAGAGCAATCTTACAAATTACATGCTAAAAATAGAATAAAAAAGATAATTACTTATTTGTAACAGCTTTTGTCCCCTTGGTATTGTTACTGATTATATATATATATATAATACGCGAAACATGCATAGTCATAACACAAAACAGTTTGCAAAACTTGTGGGGCGTGTCAGCATTTGGTGAATTTTGCCTATTCAACATGTGAAACTCAACATAGTGGCACAAGACAGCCATATAAATTTTGCAAATATATACCGTATATATATAATGACAGTGTCACGTGACAAAAATTACTCAAACTGGTAAATAATTTTTATTTTATTTTCATAATTTATTCAGAAGCCATTTTTTTTTCTCGTCTCGCACCCGCTCCTCATCAGGCTCTCTCTGGCTACCATGACAGAAAAGCATATTAATATCTCAATTTTGTTAAACTATACTCAAGAGTACATAATAAAAAATTAATAAATAATATTTTAAAAAATTATAATATTAATATATTAAATTATATAATATTTTATAATTTTTATAAAAATTTACTTATAAATTTTTATGGTATAACTTTAAATACATTAAAAATTTTATTATTATATACCAGAGTCAATTTTTTTCGGGGTAGGGTGAAATTAAATAAATATGCTTTGCACAACATATTTTTGCAGAGGAGCTTATGACATTTCCTTTGCTTCCCAATTCTCAGGGGACACAACAAAAATTAGAGTTTTGCTATAGTAATTCATGTAATAAATATTAACATTAAAAATTAAGGAAAAAATAATACTAAAAGCATTTATAAAACTACAACTAATTTTGTCCATTTACAGGACGAAAAATAGTTGAACCAAGAATTTTAGCTGTATATTTATATACTTTTACTGTTTTATTAACATTAGGTATTAGAATTAATTTGAAGTATTTAATGATAAAATTTTATATAAATAAATATTTCATAAATATAGTATAATAAATATTTTTAATAAAATAATATATTATTCTTAGTTGTTTAATTAAAATCATTCTTAAATACTAATATTAACAGTTAAAAAATTTTAATGCATACATATATTATCATTTGTGAGTAAATATACATCTGTGAAAATTAAGCATGTGTTAATGAAAATAATAATTCTTTGATGTTTCTTAATTGTTAGGAAACGTTAGAGGCACGTTGAATTGCTAGTTTTTTTCACTTTATAGCTTTAAAAAAATTTAAACGTTTGAAGGCACAAAAATGTGAAAGCAGCACTTAAATTAACATACTAATCATAAGACAGCATGTAAATTAGAAAATAAAAAGTTAAATGGGTGTGAAATTTAAGATAGACCTGCTTTATGAAATTAGCAATGGACTGGCAATCAGAAACTTCGTGTGCATCGAGTGCTTGGTGAGCTAACTCCATAACATAGCTCTGCATATCCTCTGACATGTCTGTCTCTCGCACCACACCTTTTCCTTCCAACATCTTCACCAAAAGCACCAACAACACTTCCACTGCTACCACATACACAAACACAAACACATATAGCCTATCAAGTGCATACAATAAGAAACACACTGCTTGTGCAAGCAAATCCTCAGTGGTCGAGATTTTTAGATTTATAAAATCTTCCCGTGTTCATATTGTTCACTTCTTTATTGTGTATTGGCCTAAAAAAGGTTCTTTCATTTTTCTTTCATCATACAAAATGGATTTTGTAGTCATTTGGTGATGTTACAATCCAAACAGTTGTAATGAAAATATCGCCCTTGACGGGCACCTATTTCCACCAATCAATTTTAAGGAAAAATGTATTTTTATATTTTAGACATCCATGTGTGTATATATATAATTTTAGTACAGTGCCAATTAATTAAAATACATCATAAATATAAATTTTATATTAATTATTACAAAAGTTAAGAATTTTTTTTTTGCTAATCAAAAGTTAAAAATTTTAGCTAATATAATAATCCATTATTAAATGATAGTGTAAAAAAGGTGTACACAATTAGTATATTTAAATTAGTTTTTATAAAGAAATTATATATATTATGGTGTATAGTGTCAATTTTAAATAGTTCAGATATGGGAACTATTTGGTACTCTGGAATTCAGTGGGAAGTTGCCAGAAACATTAGCTGGCCTATTTGAACATATTTGAAGTCGAAGAACTTTAACTTTGCGGAACATGTTCTTACACACCAAGTGATTGAGGCTGCGATAATTTTAGAGTTGTAATTGCATTGCTGGCTAGGGTGGGCCAATATGTGGTCCTCAATCATAGCCGACATCACGTGAAGTTGTTTGCAATTTAAAACTATAGCACTAGGCATTGAAGTAACACCATTTTGGTATGCTTCAATTGTGTATTCAAGTTCTGATAGGAATGATACTAGTTGTATAGCTGGAAATTTCCACGTATTTTAAGCTGAACTAAAGCATCCTCGTTGTGCTGAAGCTGCATCAATGATTGCCACAAAGTTCCCCATAAGAAAAATGTCAGGTAGATATTGATCCATTTTCTTTACTTTTGTTGAAATTCTAGAAACGGACTGGTCCCCAATTGCATGAATTTAGCTTAAGAAAGATCTTTAAAAGCTGAGAAGGTTGGACTCAAAAAGTGAATTGTGGTTATGCCACCCCGTTGAAACCATGAGTACAACGAAAAAGAAGGTTCATCCGCATCTTACGCGCCTAATTGAGAAGCTTAGCTGGTATTTTTTTTCATTACATTATACATGACACAAAATTATAGCATAGAATATGCGAAAAGAGAACATATTCAACTTGTCCTCAGAAATATTGACAGCAAGTAATTTCAAACATTTTATAACGAGCAGCAGTATCAAATATTCGAAAATCTAAAGAGAAATGCAAAAAAATATACATTTCCACTAAGATACCAAGCAAATAATTAATGCATCTTCCAAGACCACAGATTCATATAGTAATGGAAAGAAATCGAAATGAATCAAAACTGATAAGGTAATCTATTCAAAATTCCAAAATTCCAAAACTCAAACCATAAATGAAATAGGAAACAAAGATTCCTAGCTACACCAAACCCTGTTTAACCCTGTTACATTATTATTATAGACAAACGCAAAGAAGAATACAATATTGGCAACTGAGATTAGTCCTAGAAAATCTCATCAACTTTACACAGAAATCACATGGGGGTAACAACACCAACATCAACACACTTAACCCCCATCCCCATCACCCTCCTATTTTTTTCCCAAAAAAAGAACTTTGTAACAAAGAAAATTGTACAATACTCAGATCTGAGAAACGAGAAACCGAAACTCCTCTCTACAAGAAAATGACAATCCCAAAGAAAACCAATAATTTTCTGTTAAAAAAAACCCGAAAGATACCCTTTCTTTCCTTCTTTCATTTTCTTTTATATAAATATATTTTTTTTATTATTATTACGAAACTCTGCTCCTGTCTGTACCAGAAAATAAATAAACAAAACGCCGAGTCTTTAACGCGTGGCACCGAGTCTGGATCGGAGCAAGAAAACACTGAGTTCCTGACCGGGGCACTCGTCCGGGTTAATGAGATGAAACGACTCGGAGTCAGCGTTACCGACAACGTGTTCGAAGTTGGCGCGCATGTACATGAGTTCATCGGAGGCGGAGCCGGAGGCGGAGGGAATGACGCCGGCGCCCACGGTGACGCAGTGCATGGTGCGGAGAATGGATCGGACGCGGTCGCCGGCGCGTCGGCGAGCGGCAAAGCCCGTTTTTTTCCCGTTGCAGAAGGCGGTCCAGAGGGGGACGGAGCGGAGGGGGAGGTGGGGGCGCGTGGGGGAGGAGCACTCGAGGGCGATTCGGACGAGGCCGTTGCGCATTTCGCGGACGAGGTGGTTGGTGGAGAGAGGGAGTTCGAGGAGGAGTGAGGGCTTGGGGGAGAGGCGATCGTGTTGGACGCAGAACCACACGTGTCCTCTTCTGTTTCCGAAGATGGTTCCGATTACCATTGATTTTGAGGGACGTGGTGGGGCTGCGGTGTTTGTGGCGGTGGAGGAGGAGGAGGAGGTGGAGGGTGAAGAGGGGTTTGTTGTTACCGTGGTTGTGCTGGGGCGGTTCTTGGTGGTTGAGAACGCGGGGTTTTGTTGTTGTGGTTGCTTTGTGGGGAAGAAACATGGGAGGAAGAATCGACGGAGAGTGTCGATGGTCATGGTTTGTTTCAAGAATTGGTGCGAGCGGAGTGGAGTGAAGGAGTGTGGAAATGTGCATGGTGGATATTGGTACGGTCCGTGCATGTTCATATATAATACTAATTACATGGATATTGTAAGCGCCTCACGCACTAACATGGACCAAACAGTTAGCTCTTCGTCTTTTCTACGGTCGCTTTAACCCAATCCCATTTAAATATTTCATCAAGGGAATTCATATTTCAACTTCAATAGTGGACAACTCCCTCATCACTCGCCCACATGAAAGAGATAAAAATAATTGTATTTAACATGTTATATAATGTTTTTTTTTCATGTTTTAATAATTAAAATGTTTCAACAATGAAGAGTGAGAAAAAGATTCTCTTTGACATAATTCTAATTACCAGTTAAACTTTATACAAATATAAATATTAAATTAAAAATTAAATTCATATATTTTTTTATAAGGCTTCATTGTTATTGATAAAAAATGAATTGTTAATATTTTTTTATTGAAAACTAATTATATATGTGTAACTCATTGTTGTATAAGTATGATGCTATTCCTACATTATAAGCATAGAGTAATCTTATAGGCCTCAACCAGAATTCTTTCACTCTTCATTTGTTACGGGCATATTTTGATGTTATAACTATATAGATTGTGTCTCATCACATCACTCGAGGATTTAAAATGTGAAATGCTTTATGGGAAGCGATCACAATATTTTGGCGGCGGTGACGACAGTAACTATACTTCGTTATTTTGTGTTTCATTATTGAGGCTTTTTAAATATTATTTTTCTATATAGTAAATTTTTATAAATTTATTATTCAACTTTATAAGTCAAATTTACGATTACTCCATGAATTTACGTAATTTTATGAGTTTGAGATAAAAATTAGCATGAGTTAGCAAGATAAGTGACTCAAGAGTGAGTAACTATTTTTAAATAGTTAGATGTATTTTAAAATCTATAAACAATTTAGATCTTTTACCTATAACTCAATAATACAAGTTTATACATATTTATTATTTAATCTTTCATAAAAATTTTAAAATTTCTCTTTAGACCTTCACAACTTTTTATTTTGTATCTTAAAAAGTTATTATGTCTTGTTTTCAAAACTCTATATATTGTATTTTTCCTTCTTTACCTTTGTATATGTTGTATCTTTTAACCTTATTTTAAGAAAATATGTATTCAGATGCTCATTCAAATGCAGTTTTAATACATAATAAAAAATAACTTTTGAAATAATCGGTTCTTTCAATTCGAATTTCTAGTTTTGCGTGAATCAACGGAGAATTGTGGCCAAGCCACAAAATTGGGCTGAACAAAATCCTCCATATGAAACACTTGAATTGGAAGGAGATGCTGATGACGAGCAAATAAAGATTGCTTTTAGATGTTTAGCCAAATTTTATCATCCAGATGTTTATGATGGTAGAGGAACCCTTGGGGAAGGTGAAATAGCAAAAGCTAGGTTCATCAAGATTCAAGCTGCATATGAATTGCTTATAGATGGGGAGAGGCGTAGACAATATGATATGGATAATAGGGTTAACCCTATGAAGGCATCTCAAGCGTGGATGGATCTCCACAAACCCTATTTATGAAGTTTTATGATTTTTAGAATTAAGACTTTTACATTCACTCTTATAGTCTCAATTCATCATGAAAATGAGATTTTGTATTGATATATTATTCAATGCCCTTTTAAATATTTTTCATATTCTTCCTATATAATAGTCGTTTTACATTGCACAAATTCTACAACTTTTGCTTAAGCTGTGTTTTTTCACTTAAGCTAAAATTATAGACAAAAAAATTACTCACTAAAGGTCAATAGCTTAAGCAGGACATAAATCGCTTAAGCCATGAAATACAGTACAATAATAGCTTAAGCGATGAATATTAGCTTAAGTAAATATCACGGTAAATAAACCCTTCCATTATAACCAATAGAAGGAGAGTTGATGATAAAGATTAAATTTTAACTTCTTAACATTTTAGGTTATAAATCCAAACAAAAACCTTTATATGAATTCACAAACTATATTTTGAAATTAATATGTATCAAAAGTCATCATTGACAATTATATGAAAATTTTACCATGTGAAAGAAAAAGAGCTCAATCAAGCTCTCTATGCATGTCTCTTCACAGGTTTTATCATAAGAAGGAATGAACAATGGAAACTATATGATAACTTCTCATTTCATATTTAACAATATATATGAAAATTTTACCATATGAGGTACGCAAATTATAAGAAAATAATTAGTCTAATAGTCAAGACACGAGCAAGGAATGGACAATGGAGACTACAATATGTAGGAATCAAGCTATTAAATAAGCTTTTAAAAGTATTTAAATTTGTTAAGCAAATTCATGCAATGGCAGATATTATTGTTAAAAATTTTGTTAAGATCATTTGTAAGAGAATGCAAATTTTAATGTCGCAAGCATTTTTGTATGATACAAAGTAATATTTAAAGTATATAGTTTAATTAATTGCTTAATTAATATATTTTTTTAAGTTAAGACTTCTGCCATAAATTTAGGGTTTGTGTGGGAACATGCCTTAATTAATCTATTATTAAATAAACTATTTTGTCTGAGTTATCATACCTTAAATTTGTTCATAAAATTTTATATAATGAACTATATTAAAAAACTTATTGAAATAAGTACAAAATAAAACAAAAGTAGTTATGAATATTCGTAAGCTTTTGAAAACTAAAAATTTTTCATTAAAATCAATTTAAAAAATTTGTTTTAAAATTTTCATAATAAGATAAAGTAATTAAAATGTTTGAAAATAGTATCAGACAAAAATTGAAACAAATTTGATTGACTTTTCACTTTATTCTATTCACTATTCTTCTAAATCCAATGATAAGTTAACCATTTTTATGATAATTTGGCTTAAGCTTTTAAATACTATTACTGAAATTATAAAAAAAGTTCAATACCACTATAAAAAATACTAATTATACCATTAACAAAAGAAAAATGTGTTATTTAACGGTCATTTCAGCTACTTAATTAAGATTTTGAATATTAAAAAGCTTTACCAAATCATTCGTAGGGTTAATGTCAACTTTTATAATTGAAATGTATGTTTAAATTAAAATTATAATAAGTAATAAAAAATTAAAATTCACAAAAAATATACTTTTTATACTGTGCTATTTTGAGTTTGAGATTTGTGATCGTAACATATGACTTAACTAAGTAATATGATCAAATTAATTAAATTTTATTTAATTAGACTACTAATATTTTATGGTAAATTAACAAATAGGAAAAAATATATTTTATTTTTAAATTTAAATATACAAGTTTAGGTGAAGATAAGAATGAGTTCATAAAATAATGTAGCTAATTATTTGTTGTCTTGCTTATGTAATGATAGGAGCTTACTATTTTGCTGAAGCTGAACATATATTGCTTAAACTGTAGATAATATGCTTAAGCGATGACGTCCTTGGCTTAAGTGGATTGTATATCGCTTAAGCTTATAATACTAGCTTAAACCAACAAGTTAAAGCTTAAGCGATAAACATTTAGTTTAAACAAAATAAATATAGTTTAAACAAAATAAGTCCAGCGTAAGCGAATTAAATAGAGTTTTAGCGAATAAATTCTAGGTTAAACTAAAATATTGGGCTTAAGCTAAGATTATCGCATGCTTAAGCTAAAAATATCTCACGCTTCAACTGAAAATAGCATACTTAAGCTAAGTTTAAACTGAACCTTAAAGTTACTATACATGCTTATGCAAAACATTTTAGCTTATGCTTATGTGAAAAATTAAGCATTGTTCTGAAATGGAGTAAAGAGGTAAGCTACATTATTAGTAAGAATTTTATTGTATGAGTTACCTCTTGCTACATTGCTCATATTATTCTCTATGTATTTATTTATATATTATCAAGTTCTGAACACTTTTTACAAAATTCAAATCATGTCACCCTGTATAAATAAGATGATTAAGCTTTTAGAAATTAACATGAAGTAGGAGATATATGGCAATTAAAAGTCAAATTCAATTAAACAATATCCTTGCCTCAAAGCCGACAACAAAAAATGTTATTATACCTTATAAAATGTTTGCAACTTTGTGCTTGCCAAATATATTTTATTACTGTTATTTTTACTAATCATAACATAGATTTAAGCCTATTTATAGAAAAACAATTAATGTTTTAAATGAGATATCACTTTAACTGAGTTGTAATTCAATTTAGCTAAACTATACACTTAAGCAAATTGTAACAAGAATTTTAGATTAATCTCTGTCTTAGATTAGCTTAAGCCACAATTCAAAAGCTTAAGCGAATGTATGTTAGATTCATATATGTTTTTTTATTAGCTTAAGCGAATGGTTTGTGGCTTAAGCTAATTTTGACGAAAAAATTTAAATTCATCTCGGTCGTTCATTAGCTTAAGCGAATGTGTATTAACTTAAACGAATTTGATAAAAAATTATATTCATCTCTGTCTAAATTTAGCTTAAGCGAATAACTTTAGTTTAAGCGAATGTGTGTTAGATTCATATATGTCTTTAATTTGCTTAAGCTCATATATTATGACTTAAGCTAATTTTGACGAAAAATTTAAATTCATCTCGGTCTTTGATTAGCTTAAGCGTATGTTTGTTATATCAAGCAAAAAATTATGGCTTAAAGCTAAATTTACAGCGAAGTGAATTCCTACGTTTTTTCTTATTCAACAAAATCTCTATAATCATTACCTTTATTCTGATTTTTAAGATAATTAGGATGACTAGACATGATTTCAAATAGGAAAAACTTACAATTGAGAATATAACAATCGAAATGAAGAATGGTTATGTAGGTTTAGAGTTCATGGTAGATATGACAAACGGGTTTGCATACTATTAAGGAGGAAAAATAAAAAGGAATTGAAATAGAAGAAAGAAAAATTAAACAAAGCTTTTACGATAATATTTCAAAAGAAGATTATCTTACTTTTTCTTCAAAAACAAAGATGAGAGTGAGTTTGAGAAAATATGATATGGTTCCTCGTGAATAAGCAATTACGTTCTTTCTTAACCTTAAAAAGAATTATATTAAAGAATGACCTATTTTAAATATCTAAGAAATTGATATCCTTTATCTGCAAAATTTGATAAGGATTAATTTTTAAATATTCACATTTTTAAGACCTAGTATAACAAGTTATTTTGCTAACTTATCTGTGAGTTACCTAATATGCTAACTCATGCTATCCTTCACTTGAGTTTGACAAAAACTTTCATATATACATCAAAACATTGCATGTTCTTTTAAGTTAACCCAACATCTATTTAAATTTTATATTTAGGAAGAGAAGAAAAAGGTTGAAAAGAGTTAGTAAGATTTAATTCTTATTTAGAAGTTAATTAATTGTAAGAACTAAGATTAGCAGATTTTTTTTAAACTCTAAAACCTTCCTATCCTTGATTTTTTTAGTTTTCTCATTTTATTTTTTTTTTAGTTTTAGTGCCTCGTGTAATGAAGTTTATTATTTATATTTCTATTTGTTAGATTAAATATTCAACATGGTCTAAAGTTAAAATAATAAGAAAATAAATTTTTTATTTAAATTTAATTTTTAGAGTGAAAATTTGTTTAAAAATTATAAAGAATAGAAATAAAAAAATTTTAAAATATTAATTTTTAGAAAGAGAAACATTTTTATTTTTTGAAAAAAAACAAAATATATGAATAAAAAATATAAAAAGATAATAATGTCATTTACATATTAAACTCTTTATTGTCCTCTCCTTATTAAATCCTCTCTTCTCCTCTCCTCCTTCTCCCTTCAAACATTTTTTTTTTTATTCTCTTCCAAACTCTTAACTAAAGAATTAGAGATCACAATAAATAAAGTTAAGTTACATACTTATAATATTGATCTATATATTCACATTTCAAAAAATTATATATATTTATCCTTATACCCCCTAAATAATAACTTTCATTCTCATCTTCATATTTACTAGATACTTAAATTTTCATACTCACTCTCATTACAAGCATTTAATAATTAAAGTATAATTTATAATTTTTACGATATAATATAAAATATTCATTAAAAAAAGACAAAACACTCACTTTAGTCCCTGAAAGAGTTTAAGTCTAATATTTTAGTCCATGGAATATTTAAAATGTCACGTTAGTCCTAAACTTTCTTCTCTGTCATTTATTTTAGTCTTTGAACCCAGACTTCGTTAAAAAACCGTAACAGAAAGCTGAGTTGTCACGTTAAGTATTACATTAGAAGCGCAGTTGGCAAAACAACTTTGTTTTGGAAGATACGTGACACCTTTGATTGTGAAACAATGTTGTTCTAATTGAAGCTCTCGTTCCTCATCAATAGTATCGAGTTCCCGTTTTGTTCTCTTGTTGCTGTTGTTATCGTTGACTCTGATTTTCGTTACCCTTTTGGTTTTGCCCCTCATGTTTACCACCCTCTACGTCACTATCAGAAGAGCTTGTTGATTCTGAGGATTCTTCCTCTTTCACTCTTTTTCTCAAATACAACCACCTCGTAAATTCTCTCAACTCCAAGGTTGATGATGAACTCTCACTCTTTACTATGGCTGC